AGCTTCTTGGTTTCTTCACTCAGTTCCAATCCTTGTAATTTTTGCAACATCCTTTTATGCTTCACCAACATGGCAATCTCATTTGCCAAACCTAATTCCTGCACAACAGGGTAAACACATTGAACCATTGATCAATACTTGATAAAAATTAATGGTTAGTTGTCACATTGGTTTATCCCCTTGATTTCATTGCACACTTAAGCATATGATTCTATCACTGAAAGCTGTTGATAGGATATTTTCTAGTGTCACCATGCTTGTAAATATGGGTTAATATGTGTGATCCTAATTTATAGTCCTTAAGAAATGGCTTAATAGTAAATAATTGGAATAAGGGTCTTATTGGTTGGCCCTGACATTATGGAAGAAAAACCCTCGAGGTGGCTTGCTTTATAAGAAAAGAAAGTGGATGAGATATTTTAGCATGCTCTTCCAAAATTATAGCATGTTCTCTCTCTCCTTGTTTGTTTTGTTTGTGTTTAAATTGAATGTTATTTGTTGATGAGGATCAACTTGGTATTGTTTTGGTTTGTGTTTAAATTGAATGTCATTTGTTGATGAGATCAACTTGGTATTGTTTTGGAAACCATGTTTTGATAGGAGGTGAATAGGATTTTAGTATTACACAATGAGTCTATACTTATGTTAATGTTTTTATTTATTCTTTGATATTAAAATTTAAAACTTATGTATGACCTTTGAAAGCCATCCTTTTAAGTTTTAGTTGTTATTTTATACTTTTTTAGTTAAAGTTTGGACATTTGGATAAGTGTTTATGTAAACCTTTACCACTTTAGAAAAGTTTTAAAAATATTGTATCTCTTTTATAGTTCCATTTTGCTTTTATATTAAATTAATAAAGTTAAAATGTATAATTATATGTTAGTTTTTATTTATTTTTTAATTTTACTATTATTTAGTTTATTTTATATATGTGTGTAATATATATATATATATATATATAAAGAGAGAGATTCGTTTATTCTATATAAGTCATGCTCTATATCAAATTTTAACGATCTAATTATTAAACTTAAAGTTATTAATGTACAGAATAAATTTGTAAATTTTGAAAAAAATTAAAAATCATTTGATACTTCGTTTCATTAATTCTAATTGATAGATAATCTCATTCAGGTATATTTACTCCTAAGTAAATAAATCATTCTTTATATATATTAGTATTATGTTTTACATAAATTATTATTATACTTTTTATTATTATTATTATTATTATTATTATTATTTTACTACATTTATTACATTATATGCACTTATTTAAAAAAATTAAAAGAAATTAAACTTAGTTAAATGAAGGCTTATCAAACTTAAACAAAAAAAAAAAAGACAAAACAGTTAAAATGTTGTGTCCGTTGGGCCAATTTTCTAAACTCAAATCCTTTCTTATATTTATCCGTAGGTGCGGTCATACGGAACGCAGCTTCTCAATATTGATAGGAGTTTCACAGTTTGCTTAGTACGTGGAAGTGGCAACCTTCAAGTATCAAAGGTGCGTGCTTTTGTCGATGCTTCTTCTTAACTGTGATTTTCTTCTGTTAATTAATTTTTGTGTAACCCAAATTGGCATAAACCATGGAACTAAACTCGAGTCTGTTATTATAATCCAAAGCTCTAATTTTTATTTTTTGTTTTATTTTTCAGAAAAATCCCTTCCAAGACATTTGTTTGATTGTGTTCAAGGTTGGCTGATTCTATGTAGTGGTTGGCTTCATTTGATGAGAGAAAATTGCGGGGATGGTTGTTTGTCTCAATTGGCTCTATTTTCTTTGTTGGGTATTTCTTTGTTGTTGTTATTTCCAAGCTTCTCCCACCTTCAAACATTGCCCTCATTTCTGCGTTGTAAAATGACTGGTAATTAATTAATTAATTAGTTCTGATATTGAGACGTGATTCTGTAGGTTTTTACTTTCATGTCAATGGTTTTTCAACATAATTGTCGATTTTGGGGAGGGCATAATTTAGGGTGTAGAATGTAAGGGCTTGAAATTGCAATATGTTCTGTCATGGGTTTTTGTATAAATTGTTCTGTTTCGTGTGATGATGATAATGGGTATGTTACTGTGTTGCATGAACATGTCATTCATGCTCGTTTGATGATGATAATGGGTGTGTTACTGTGTTTCATGAAAATCTTATTCGTGCCACAAACTGAGAGGTTATAGTGTGTTCATTCATGACAAGATCTGATTTGGTTGGTTTGGATTCTTTGGAACATGGAATGATTTTTCTGCTTACTCGATTACGCAAATTAAACTGGGTTGTTTTCTTGTCATGTTGTGTATCTGTAAAGTTTTGAGGTTTGCTCCATGTTTGTGTCTGCTTGTCTTGTATATCTCTAAGGGTAGAAACGAAGTTTATTTTTAGGTATATATGAAAATCAAAACGAGATTATGGCTAATAGATTATAGAAGGATATTAACAAATCAACACCTGAATTTTCAAGAGAACTCTCCTGATCTGTTCTCAACATTCACTTTATTGAAGGTGTCAATTAGGTGGCACCACATTATACTCCTTCCAGTATTACGGGTGTTATTTGTGTACACCACATTATAGCTCTATGCACCACAAGCCATTGTGCCGCCTGCCATTTTTATAAATGCTTCAGCTTTTTCAACATTTACGAAGCTTGCCTTTTTCAGTTTGATATTTTGTTGTCATCATTGATGGAGGGATCCCATCCCATGATGATGTTATTTGCTGAATCTTTATTAACGAGTATTGTTTTGG